CTCTCTCAAAAACCAAACCCACAGTCCTCAAGTAAAAAGCCTCATCTTTCTCCAGAGGAGCAGCTGGTGGTTTTGAACTGTGGATTCTGCAGTTCGCAGCCCAATGCGGAACCACCACACCACCAGGGCTCCTTCCCATAAAGCTACCATCGCAGAAAGGCACGGGGGTGGCTCCACCCTGCCATATCGGGGTGCTCTGAGTCGGGATTGCCCCAGGGCAGTGAATTTGGCTTGGTTTTAGTAAGCATCTTTCTTCGCAGCTGAAGTCTTTGGGAAAACAGCAGCCTGCTGCCCTGGCCCCCGGGGGCAGGTGTGGGAACGTGGCCAAGACGACGGGACAGTGGGCATTAGGGACCTGGGCCTGATGATGGGAGGGGACACCCTTCCTCCGGCGCATCTAAACGAGAGGATGGGAGTTGCCTGTTGGAGGGCCCCCTTGCTCAACAGAGGTACCTGTGGGTCACGAGGCCCGCCTGCCTTAGTGAAGAGAAGTCCCGTTTGCCAGTGGGTTTACAGCCCATTTGATGGAGAAGGTCATGTGCACCTCTCTACGTTTCCCAAAATGCAGCCTCCTTCAGGCTTTGAGACGCTGTGTGTTAGGCAGGATTCGTGTCGTGCCTGAGCCGCCGGGTTCCGCCTGTGTGTCGAGGAGCCCTCCTTTCCTCGGGGGAGGGGGGTCCTGAGCAATGCCCCTGCCATTCACGCAGGTGAGTGTGCTTCCATCCAGGTGCCCGTTGAGGTGGTGGCTGAGCCACCCATGCGGGGTGGGGTGCTGATGGGTGTCCACTGCAGGCAGGTGGAGCTGGGGGTCTGTGCGGTGCCTGGGAACGCCTGCACCTGCGCTTTGCGTCACCCGCAGCGCGTGCTTTTCCTTAGCCGCACGTTTCTGTCAAACAATGGGTTCCAACTTCGAAAGGTGGCACGCCTTTCGCCTTTCGTAGGCACAGTAGTCAATGCCTGTGGGCGGTGCCTCCGGGCCCTGGGGTTCCCTTCGTGCGCCTTGAGCTGCTCTGGAGGGTGGAAACATGCCGGTCTCCCTCCCCTGCCCTCTCAGGGACTCGGGGTGTGTCTGTTCCCCCAGTCTTCTGGAGGATGACGGCGGTGGGAACGTCGGGGTGCATGCTCTTGGTGGGGTCGGAAGGTGTGCCTCTCGGTGTTGTTGAGGACTCCCCGAGGGTCCTCCCTCTCCCCCTCCCTCCATGGCTACTCTGGCCTCGTCCCAGAACACCCTGATTCCAGTCGGCTGCCATCCGAAGGGTCTGAAACGAAGAGGGGGCACCAGGGCTGTGACCTCCTTCCTCACCATACTTGCTCAGTCTGTACGCCAAGGGGCCCAGCGTCAGAGGAAGGCTTGTCAGCAACCTGTGCTACAACCTGCGCTACGCAGAGGATACGACCCTGCTTGCAGAGAGCAAGGAAGAAGATCAAGGCCCACCGTTTTCAAGGCGGATTGAAATCCAGGGTAAAGAAACCCCTGTCCTTATGACCGGACCAGGCGACAGCACCGTGCTAAAGGGAGACCAGACCCACGTGGTCAGGAATTTTGCTTTGTTGGAATGACCCTGGGAGAAGTGGAGGGCCCGTGAAACGGAGGTCAGCAGGGACCATGGGCCTCAGCGTAACCACTGGGAGACGAGGACCGGGCAGGACTGGGAGGTGTGTCCTTCTCGCGTCCCCGGGATCGCTGCAAGTCGGAACCAATTTGCCAGCACCCAACAACCCTTAGGTCAGGCTGCCCTGCCCCATTGATGAGCACGCTGCTGTGCTGTGAGAAAGGGTGCCAGCAGTCTCAGACATCACCAGGGCCACTTAGGGTGGGAAGGTTTCAGGCGGGGGTGGGGGGGAGCTTCCAGACTAAGAGAGACGAGGAGGAAAGGGCTGGCCACTGGAGAACAAGCTGGCTCCCACCACAGCGTTGGACCCCTTGCCTCCACTCCATGCCCGTCCCCCGGGGGTGGAAGAGACTCAGAGCACACGGTGGTGGTAACAGTGGGCTCGGGTGCAGTGACCGTGGTGAGGATGGTGCAGGTCCTCGCTGGACGACCAGTGGCCATCCCTGACCCGAGCACCCGCTAACCCACCTGATGGCCTGGTGGGTGTCCCGCTGCAGTTCCTTGAGCTCCTCTTGGATCTGCTTTGGCTTGGTGAAGTGGCCCATGAAGTTGAAGTAATCCTCGGCGTACGGCCGGTGCACAGTGGGCTGGTAGTTAATGCCAAGTTTCTGCAAAAACTCTTGGTACGTGATGTGCCCTCTGCCCTCTGTGTCGTACCTTTAAAAAAAGGTGGGGTGGGGGAGGCCTCCCATCAGCGGCCTGGGAGTTAAAAGGAGAACATACTTGCGGGGGTAGGAGGGGCCTGTCCACTTCCTGCAGGACTGGCGAGCAGACACATACTGGCCCTGCCCCACTCAGTGTGCGCGCTGCGGCACGCTGGGCTCTGGGTGGGGGTGGGGTGAGGGTGGGGTGGAGGTGGGAGTGGTGGGGAAGGGACAGAGGGAATGCCTATTCACAGGCCAGGTCCCGGAGCCAGTCCGAAGATGCATTTTAACCAGACCTGTACCCCGTAATTCGAGGTGGGGGTGGGAGGGTATTTGTATGTTCAAGCTGGAAGCACCCTGCCCCTGTGGTGACGGTGGGCCAGGACCCTCGCCTGTCTGTCTGTCCATCCCTGGGTTTACTGAGCATCTTCGAGGGCACAGGACGCTGGCCGGGAACCAGTGACCTGCAACCAGTGAGCTCCACTTGAGTCCAGGCCAGGACGGGCGCATGTCCCGTTTTCTCTTTGAAGGGACGCCAATTACATGTGTGGAATGAGCGGGGCTGGGGAAGAAAACAAGATAAAAATTCTGCTCCGCTCCTTTTATGCCATCTCCCATTAGTGAGATGTGTCTGAATGATAATTCATTAAAAACGGGCATAATGGAAGGTTTGTATCTTCCAGCATTGTGCAACTAGAATAGAGCGACTTCAATAAAACCCTTAAGGCAAATTGCCAATTTTCTTAAAAGGGAGAGGGAGAGGGAGGGGAAAAAAAGAAAAAGCATTTCGTTTTACAAGACAGCGCTTGGTCTTGATCAAATAGATAAAAATGGCATTTGCAGATGGGATTTTTTTCCCCCCAGATGAACCCAGCACGACCAGGAATGAGGCTGGAGCGAAACTGCTTCTGCAAAGCGCAGCTCTGGGTGTTCGGTGGTGGACTGGGGGTTTGTGTGGTTGTGCGCGTGAACACAAGGGTTTTTGTTGTGGTGTGTGTGCCCCTCATCCTTGGCAGGGGATAGGGTGCTCAGATGCCCAAGGGGGCTTGCATGCACCGATCCCTTGGCCAGTTTGCTAGGGTGGGGTAGACAGTGGGAAGAACATCCTGTTTGGGGGGGTGGGGTGTAAGTAGTCTGAGCGCCTGTGTGGAGGTCTGCTGGAGGATTTGGGGTGCTCCACTGAGAGGCCTCCTGGGCAATGCCTCCTCCCCAGCCCCCAGCCCCGCCCTTGGGCTTCCAGAGGCCTCCCCATCCCATCCCCCCACCACTCCTGTTCCTTCCGTCAATGGCATCTGCCTACCTCCTACATGGCCCAAAATCCAGGCCCGCTTTCAAGACAGAAATCAAAACCAAAACACAGACAGTTGCCGTTGAGTGCACGCCAAGTCACGGGGACCCCATGGGTGTCATCAGCACTGCACGGAGGGTTTTCAGGGACTGATTTGAAGGAGGCAGGTTGCCAGCCCTTTCTTCTGCCTGCTTCTGATAGCCACCTTTCTGTGAGCAGCTGAGTCGTGAAACCATCTGTGTTCCCGAGGGCTCCATGCCAGTTACCCCCGGTGACCCCATAGGTGCCCCCAAAAGAGTGTTTCCAGGGTCTGATTTTTTTTTTAAGATCATTTTATTGGGCACCTCTAGGTGGACTTGACTTGTCAATCAAGTGTACTCCCAGGGACCCCATGATAAAGGAGAGGGTCCATGGAAAGAAGGAAGACACTCCAGGGGGGTATGGAGGCGGTGGCTACAAAGATGGAT